ACATACACACATGTGCACACACACACTTATATGACAGACCAAGCATCCTGAGATGTCCCTAACTCTATCTTCCTCCTCTTGAAGAGCCTTAGTTTCCCCATCTGCACAATGGGTTTGTGGCACACAGCGGATGCTGTGAGACAGGAGTGCTAGGAAGTGCTCAGTGTCCATCTCCTTTGCCTCTCCCAAGCCAGGCCACCATTGGACTCACATCCCACAGAGCCCCATCCTGGAGCAAGGACATGACAGGAAACCCAGAACCCATGACCAATGCCTATCACTCCTCAGAAGGTTTGAGACTGGGGACAAAACATCCAAGACACTGAGGCTTGACAGAATACCCTGGTTACTGCTTGCCCTGCACTGGCGTCCAGTGAAAGATCCAGGCGAAAGCCAACTGCACCAGCTGGACGAGCCACAGAGATGACTGTAGTTGGGATGGAGAAGACTGCTAGATCTAGCTCTGCCACTGTCTTGCTGGGTGACTTGCCAGGCCTGTTTTCTCTTCTGTAAAATGGGAGCCACGAAGAAAAAGATGCCAAGAATAAAGCATCACCAAGAGTAAGAGATGCTACTCAAGGGCCGTCTTCTCCACAGGGCCCTTCTCTTGGTGCTGACAGTGCCTGGCTCTCGGCCGCTGCTAATTCCTTATTACTAATGCTGCCTGCTTTCCTCCCTCCCACCTGACTCAGATGGTCCATGAGGTGTGGTCTCCCCTCTGAGTCTAGGCCCACCCAGTCAACTTAATTTGATGGAGGGAGGGTCAGACCACCTCAGCCAACAGTCCCTCGAACGATGGTCCCCCTTGCCTGACTCAGAGCTCAGCTTTCCAGGGCTGGCCAGAGGGAGCTGGGCATCCTCCCAAGCTCCCAGCTGGGTTGGAATGGCCATTCCTCCCAGGCCCTGGGGCTGCCCCCCACCACCCCACACAGACCACAAAGGCTGCTGGGAACAAATTTCAGTTCCTGAAGCCCACTCAGCCCCAGCGAGGCAAACTCCCACCCTCGAGCAGATATGTGGCTTTGTTCTACACTTCCAGGCAGCCTCTCAGCTCAGCCGCACCTGGGGAGAGCACAGTCCCTAATACCTGGGAACCTTTTAAAGCAGGACACTGTGGTCACCCCTCTATGGCTTCTAACAGCCCTGTGTGTGCCGGAGCCTGAAGCCCTGTCTGGTAAGCCTCATGAGACCTTTGCTGCTGTTCTCAAATCTCCAATGAGACCAGAGCTGCAAAGAGGAGGGTGTCCTCGGCGCTACAGAAGATAGTACTGGGACCCAGGAGGGCAACTGGGTTAATAGCTCCAGGAAGAGCCTCCTACGGTTTGAAGAAAGAGGTCTGCTTTGACAGAGCATTCTCTGAGCCTGGAGATGTTCATAACACTGGTGTGTGTTCTGTACCAAAAATGTAATCCAGTCAAATAGGTATGCAAAGTGCTGGGTTGAAGAAGAAAGGTTAGCAGGTTTTGTACTGCAGGACTTCTCAGAGCCTTTACTGTGTTAGCATGGTGTGTTTCCAAGGGAAGGGCAGTATGCTATGTTTCCCAAATGTACCTGACCCCAAAGCCCTTCCCCCAAACTCCACAAAGTATCACTTGACAGTAGGGCCACATCTTCAAGCCACTTCTGGCCCTGGAGGAAGAGGGAAAGAAAACAGTTGCCTTAAGCATCTGACCTGGAGTGGGACAGCTACATCTCCTTTGAGGGGGTACAGGGACTACCCGGGAGGGGCTCTCGGCATCCCTCTGAGGTTCCTGAGAGCTAATGCTCAACATGGGGTAACTCTACTTTTCTGGAGGTGGAGTCCCACAGTCCCCACACTGCTGTGAATTTAAATTCCAAACATAGCCTGGCAGGGAAGACCGCCCCCCCATGCCACCCACCCCCCACTCCCTCTAAGATCTGGCTTCCTCGGATACTTGGAGAGAGACAGGAAGGGCTCAGCCAAGGGCCTCACAAGCTCCCCTCCAAAGACATATAGTTGTTGCCACAGATCAGGGGTTGAAACAGGGGTTCACAGGGCCCGGTTTCTAGACCCAGAGGCCTTTTAAAAAACTGTGCAGAGTACCTGTGTGTGCTTTGGCCTGGCAGCCTTACCACAAACTGAGAAGCCAAGGAGTCCCCACAAGCATCCAAGTCGCATCCTGGTGTCTGCTCCTGCACTTTGCCCATGAACTCTGCCATCTCCCTCTCCGCTCCCAGGGCCAGTGTTCCACTCAGAACCCTTGGCTTATCTTCAGCTTCCAGAGCTGAGGTTCCGGGGCACAATGGGCTTCTGTGCCCCCATGTCCTCACACCTCCCCCCGCCCAAAGCCCAGCTGCATTCATGGTGTTTTGCTATTGTGGTGGGAGCAGCCTGGGGTGGTGCAGGAGGGGGTGGGCCCTTGGCACAGGGACCGGTGCAGACAGGCCGTGGTCAGCGGTCAGCATGCAAGTCACATCCGCAGGCACTGCCACCAGGCCTGCCAGGCTTTGCACAGAATGGCGACGCTCCTGGGCCCCTGGGTCCCTCCGTAGAGTCCCCTCCAGCCCACACACGACTTGCTTCCTGCCCAACAAGCCCCTTGGTGGCATTCAGGTGGGGGGTATTTTTTCTTGTTCTCTCAACCAGTTGCTATTCTGGAGCCATATTAGGTCACCAGCTAAGCCCTGGACACAGGAAAGGCCTGTCCCCAGGAGCACAGCTGGGGCTTCAAGAGGGTTTAGGAGGCAAAGCGGGTGGGGGGGTGAGAGCGAGTGAGTCTGAAGCCAAGAGAGTCTTCCGGAAGTCAACAGGCCCAGCCCTCCAGCCCCTGCAAGGAAGCCCCTCTTACCTCCCTAACCCAGCCTGTCTGTAGGCACATCCTCTCCTGTACAGCTCTCAAATCCCATACACATCACCCTGGGGGAGAGCAGAGACTACATTTTACAGATAGGTAAACTGAGGCCCAGACAGAGATGAGGGTTCCTCCAAAGTCAGATCGTGAGAGACTTTCTTCCACCACTGCTCTAGATAACCTTTACCAGCTCCTTCTACAGTGGCCCCAGCAAAGGAATGTGCCTCTTCATGAGGACATCGAGGTAAACAGCAGTGAAGTGACAGAAGGCAGGTCTCACTGAGACTTGGGTGGGATCCTGGATGCCAGAAATTTCCAAGAGGAGGCACAACAGCCTACCCTCACAGGGGACTCCTGATGGCCCCAAACTCCCAGGCCATCTTAGCAGAGACCCACATGGTGGAACAAAGCCACCAGAGGGTGGGAACAGAGGGAAGCCAGTAGAGGCTGATTAGGGGACTCTCACTTGACCCGTGAGTCGTGGTCACCCTCCTGCCTTTGGGCTCCCACAGGACCCCCATGAAACCACCCACCCTTCACATGGGTCTGTCTTCTAATCTGGGGCTCCCGCGAGACTCTGGCAGAATCCCCAGGGGGCCACACAGAGCTCAACAAATGTTTGGTAAGAGAACAAACAACTGACAAGACCCAGGCACCGTCCTGCAAAGCCCCTGGTCACAGAAGCCATTCCCTGAAGAGGCGGCAAAGTCTCTTACAAGAAAGAAAGATTCCCAGCCAAGAACAATTCCTCACGTGGAGAGAGTGCTTTACAGTTTACAAAGAGCTCTGGCATACAAATGCTCTCGCCTGGCACCAAATAGTGCTTTCCAGACTCATCTCCCCCAGCTATGCCTGACTAGCCCAACACAGGTCAACCAGCCCTTCTCTCTGCTGGCCTGCCATTGGCCCATCTCTAGGCCTCAGGCCAGCGATTTACATGTCCATGTCTCCCCTAGTCAATAATGGCAGAGGGGAACACATTATGGGGCCAGAAAGGGCGACCCTCTGTCTTCCCCACCTCCATCCCCAGCACACTGGTGTATACACAGGCCTTCTCCCACAAACTGTCAAGTATTCTGACTCTCCCGAAACTAACTGGTGTGCCCAGGTCCAGAAGGAAAGTGCCCCTCATGTGTGTCCTCTCCCCTGCCCCTTCCCCCTGCACTTTTGCAGAGAGAGCTGCCAGAAGGAGAGTGAGTGAAGGCCACAGAAGGGTGTCTGCAGTTCCCAAATGAGGCAGGAGTAAGTGGGAGTGGGGCCCGGGAGGAGTCCAGCTGAAGCCAGAGAGGGTGGTATTCGGGAAGGCTCTGAAGACCTCTCAAAGGGGCTGGGAGGTCCTGGCAATCTGTGTATTTATCTAGCTGGGGGAAGATGCACTGCCCCTCCGATTCTGTAACTGAATCCACCCAACAGGCAGACTTTGCAACAGCAGCCGGCCCAGGTTTCTGGAGAAGGCACTGGGCAGCTGGAACCTCTCCCCCTATCTAGCCCCCCTCCCAAGAGCTCAAGAGGATTTCCCTTTCATTTCCTTCCAGGCTGGGAGGGCGGGGGACAGCGCAGTCTGTGGGGTCAGGCCCTCAAAAACCACTTCCTATGTGGCTGGGGGAGGGCGAGCGGCTGGAGGATGTATCTGGGGGTCCCTGTGTGAGAAGAGAAGAAAAATTCTCCGGGCTAGTCACTGCTCTCCAGGGTGCCCTTCGGATCGGGAACCACCGAAGTCGGAGGAGAAAAGATTTTAGGCCCCTCCAGAGGAACTCGGAGCAGAATCCACACTCTCCGTCCCAGCCAGCGGTGGCCGAGAGGGGGATGGGGTTGGGCGTGGGAAGGACACTTGGAAGGGGCTCCCTGCACAGGCCGCGCCCCGGCTGTCTGGAGAGAATCCGGAACCCACCCTCCCAGCCGGGCCCCCCCAGTCCCCTTGGAGCAGGGCGCCCCGGGCTGGGAGAGAGGGCAGGAGGGCCCCGCCCGCGCCTGAGCAGCTCCGGGCCGGGCTCAGCTGGGAGGTGACGCGCTCCCGGCGCCCCGGGGACTTCGGGCGGCGAGTTTGGCAGAGCTGAGCGAAGCCAAGCCAAGCAGGGCCGGGCAATACGGAGCCGGGCCTGGGCCGGGCCAGGCCAGGAAGAGCCGGGCAGATACGAAAAGGGCCGGCACGGTCGACTGAGGGCGGGGGCGCGCAGGGGCACCCACCTCTCCGCGCTGCAGCTGGAAGAAGCTGTTGAGATAGCTGGAGTGCAGGGGCGAGCCCAGCTGCTCTGGGCGGCCCTTGCCGAAGGCCAGCTCTGGGGGCGCGGCGCCGGCGGGCGGCTCGGGCCGGAAGGCATCGAAGGCGCTCGCCTGGTGCGTGTCCTGCAGCGACAGGTAGACCCAGTTGAGCAGCTGGGCCGGCTGGTACACCGAGGCGGCGCTCGTATCGATGGCCGACAGCAGGCTCATTTTGCGGCGACGGTGCCGGCCCCCCCCCCCGGCCGCCCGCTCGCGCCCCCCCGGAGCGGAGGGGCGGGCACCGGGGAGCCTGCGCCCACTGCCGCCGCCCGAGCCCCGACGGCGATCGCCTGCACCCCGCGCTCAGCCCACAGCCGCCGCCGCCGCCGCCTCCCCCCAACTGCAGCCGCAGAGCGCGCGGGCGGAGGAAGGAGGCAGCGAAAGTTGGGCAGGAAACTTTTGGGCACGCCCCCTCCGATCCGCCCGCCCCGCCCCACGAACCGCTATCTGCCTCAATTCTGACCCCTTCAGCGGCCGCTCCCGGGGTGGGGTTCTCCGAGGCCCCGCCCCTCCTGGAGCCGTCCTCTCTCTCTATTGGCTGTCTCATTGAATATAGAGTAATGGGGGCGGGGTGGGCGGGGAAAGAGAGCTCATCTACATATGTAGCACGGTTCGGGCCCGCCCATGGGCGGCCCCTAGCAGGCCCCGCCCCCTCCGTGCGGCCAACCCAGCTCCCCCACCCTACAGGAGCTCAGTGCTGCCCGGGCCTGATCAATCCCGTCTCGCCTTGCTCTCAGCTCTCTTCTGTCTCTCTTTCTTTACAAATCCTTTCCAATTATTTCATTTTCACTGTTTTTTCCCCTATTTTCCTACCTTCCACATACTCTATCCTTTCTCTCAGACTAACATCTCCTGTGTCCGTCATCTGTCTCTCGGTTTCGTCGTCTTTCTCTATGGATCTGTCTCCGACTCTGTCTCTGTCTCTGCCTCTCATCTTTTCTACTTTCGTCTAGTCTGATGTGTCTCCCTCTCCTTCCCCTCTCAGGCCCAGACACACACACACACACACACACACACACACACACACACACACATATCTCCCTCCCTCTCCTCGCTATCATCGAAGGACCCTCCCCCTCCCACTTAATTCCTTCCATCTGCAGAATCGCTTTGCAGGTCGGCTCAGCCAAGGGGGGCCTGGGTTCCTGTCCCAGGAAGGACTCCCCGCCCCCTTCCCTCGTTCCTCCTCCCCCTCTCTCTTCTCCTATTTCTGCTCTGGGTCCGCCTCACTTCTCGCCCTTTTCCTCAGCCCGGACCCCCGGCCCCAGGCCGCCCCGGTGTTTCTGTGGGTCGCCAGGACCCTAGATGGGTCCGGGGGATCTGGGGAAGACGACTGCCACTCACCGCCCCAGGACGGCCCAGCTAGTCCAAGTATGCCTGAGGGGAGCCCCCGCCCCAGCCTCCGCCTGCGCCCAACACACCCCGAAGCTCCAGGGGGACTTCACCCTCTCAGACTGGGGTAGTCTTCGGGCACCTGCACTGCGCCAGCGCCAGGGACCTAGCGGCGAGGCGCCCGGAGGGGGCCGGAGTCGCCTCTCCAACCTCAAACCTGGCTCTGGAGCCATTCCCCCCGGCGTTCAAGTGCTCGGCTACCTTCCAGATGAGTGGCCTTGGCGTGGCGCCTGACCTCTGCGAATAAACCTGTTTTCTCTTCTGTAGGATGCGGAGGGTCACTGTCCTACCTCTGGGCATGTTTGTGAGCTTACCAGTTTGAGTTTAGTAATCAGAAGATATTCCATAAGGGTCAGCTCTCTGCCATCCCCGCCATGAGGATTTCTCCCACGACTGGCATCGGCACACATCTGTGGATGCTTGGACCTGAAAGGACTTCAACAATGACCAAGTGCTACCCTTTCCAACCATTTCACTGAGCAAGTACCCCTTGGATTGTCTTCTGTCTCATTTGATCAGGTTTTCAAAGATTTTGTCTATCCAACAATTTGTGATTATTAGGACAAATGATAGCGCACACACCAATCATATCTTAATATTTTTATTCATCCGAGACACATCTCTACAGTACTCTTTATATTTTAAACCTATTTGTTTAAAGAGAAGGTACACACTTGTTAGGAATAAATGTTATAACCATTTACTTTTGGAAACATTTGGGGTCATCTCTGGAACTCCGATACTATCTTTAAGGTTCCAAGGTGGGGGGCTGGATAGGATTTGGAACCACTGATCTAGACTTTGCCTAAATTTCACAGAGAAAATTGCTGGTCAGAGAGGGGACATTTTCCAATGGCACAGGAAGTTGGGGAGCCCAGAGGAGACCCCAAGGCTCCCAGCACCAGCCCAGAACTCTCTGTCTTTGGCCCCCACTCTCCTTCTGGACGAGGGTAATCCTGTTATGTTGAAGTGCTGGTATTTTTCCCTAGTATGGTTTGCAAATTCAAATTGCTTTAGGGCCCAAGCAGGTACTACTAGGTATAAGGCAATAGACAGGTAGTGATGGGGCATGTGGAGAACCAAAGTGCTAGCCACACAAGACCCTTCTGCCATGGTTCTCAGCCTGAGACTATGAGTCTGACACCTGGTCTGGGGTTCCCTGTCCTTAAGAGTGATTTGATGCTGTGAGGTTGCTTGTCCTACCTGGTGACCACTGGTCTTTTCACCCCAAACTCGCCTTATCCCTGCCCCGTAGTTCCTACGCGGGGCCTGGTACATAGATAGCATATGATCTAAAAATGTTTGCTAGGTCAATGGCTAGATGGAGAGATGGCCAAATTATGCTCCCCATTGAAGCCTGAATGGCTTCTTTGCTTTTGTACTTTTCCCCCTCCCCTTGCCCACAGCACACCTGCTCGACACATGGGCTCTGTATCCAGTTAGTGATCAATAAATTTGAGCAACTGACAGGCAGTTTGCCTGGATAGCAGCTGACTGGGCCCCTCACCAACCCCTCAGGTCCCTGAGACAGCACATCCCGTGGGATGGGAGGTGATGGGTGAGGGTGACCAGGTGGGTATCAGAGGCCTGGGTCCCAGGATAAGAAGACTGGTCCAGGCCCAAACTCTGTGCCTCCCCACTCCCCATCACGTACACATTAAGAAGCCTTGCTTTCAAAATGTCAGAGGTCCTATCTCAAGCCTTCACGTTACAGAGGAGGACACACCATGGCCCAGAGAAAGAAAGGGAGTGGCCCAGGAAGTCACCCAGGAAGCCTGATGTCTAAGCCACCTGCTCCTAATCCAATCTATATCTAGCTCTCCCTTCCTTGGCCCTGGTCTGGCAGTCTCCTGTATGGCCGCTCTGGCCTATACATTATCCTCAGAACCACAGGTAGGAGGGAACTCTCAGGTGAGGTTTGGATCCCTGTCCCCTGCCCTTTCTGGGGACTCCATCCACCCTGTGGTCTCCAGAATGGGACAATGGAGAGAAGACAGGATTTGGAGAAAAGCAACCTGGGCGGGTGGCTTTGGGCAAGTCTCGGCCCTCTCTATAAACCTCAATTTTCTCAGTTAGTGACTGATGGGGTCAAATGAGGATGCAAACAGGAAGGTGCTTTGCTAGCTGGGAATAAGCCATCATGCGGGAAGGAAGTGTGGTATTAATAATTTCAGTAAGAGCAATATTCAACTTTCCTGGACTGGTGGTTGGAGGAGGAGGGAATATGTAGGGAAGTGTCTGCAGCTGAAGTTGCCCAGGCAACAGTTCTGATAGGTGCTTGGTGGAGTTTCAGACCAAGAGCTCTGAGCTCAGAGCAGGAGAAACTTTGGAAAGAAGAGCAAGCACGGGTCTTCGTGGGGCGGGGGGAAATCAGCCTTCAGTTTGGGCTTGAAAGGCCGGCAAAGGCGAGTAGAGGATGGGACTTCACAATCCTGCGCACACTTTTGCTGCTCATTTTTCACTAAAAACATCTCGTGGCGATTTGTAATGCAGAGGAGCCCCTAACCCTCTCGAACCTGCCTGCATGCCAGTGCGCCCGGAATTACAACAGCACATACGTACTGGGAAGGCTGACGTTTGCCTCTCCTCTGGGCCGGCGCTGAGCCCTGGGCTCCTTTGGGCTGTGTGTTGACACAGAAGGTGTCAGTTTACAGCAGTGAGAGCAAAATGGCAAATACTCTCCCTGCACATGCCACTGCCCCATCCCCCAACCCGGGAGAGAAATCACTGAGCGCAGAACTCCTTCCCAGACGGGATGCCAGACTCCACCTCCACGCAGCGCTCTGCGTTGCCGCTAAGGGTGCCGTTGGCCCAGAAGATGAAAACGATTTGCCATCCCTTATATCCACCCTCCCAAAGAACTCTCTGACCTATATGAGGACTTTGTGCAGAATTAGAAAGAGGCTACCCTCAACCCCAGTGGGCTTGCGGTACCCCTTCTTCCCGTGGGTGCAGCCCCCTTGTTGTCAGGGCATAGGACTAAGTAAGTGCTAACTAGATTTTGGCACCTACCAACCCCAGATATCGTTGCGCGGTGCTCCAAAGGGAAAACCAGAGAGACAGCCTGACCACTCCAGGCCCCACTCACAGACTCTTGACCAGAAGAGGACCACACAAGGTGGGGAGAGCCATGCACCTTGAACTCAGCCGGCCACTGCATATAGGTTCAGAGCAGCGCACAGTCCCTGGGCCTTTGGAGTCTGCCCCCTTCCTCGCTGTGTGACAGTGGCAAGTTGAATACCCTCCGCGGCAGTTTCCTCGTGTGTAAAATCTTTCCATGGTTGCTTGAATCCCAAGACGCAGGAAAGCACTGGGCACCTGACAGCCCTGGCCCCTAGAAGGCCTCAGAGAGTGCTTGCTCAGTTTCAAGGCTCGGTTCCTTGAAGTGGGCGTGAGGAGTACCGGCTTGGATATCGGACGCCTAGGGTTCTCAGCCTGGGGCAAGCTGGCAGACGCCCCTGCACCACCGATGCCTGGAAGTCATAGGGGCAGGTCTAGCAGACCCCCTGCTCCCCAAGGAGCGGCCTTAAGAAAAGTGGTGGGGCAGAGATGGGGTCTTCCTCACATAGGGACCATGGCAGCAGTGACTTTCCTCCTCTCCTTCCAATTCCGCATCCACTTTTCTTTAAAAAACGAGCCGTGTACATTTTACCAATAGTCTGTTAGCCACCCCAACCCCGTGGAGAGATCCCAGGCCTTCAGGGCTAGAAGGAAGATGCCTGGTCACTCGGGACCAGTGATTGAAATGTGAGCGTGTCCTTTCGTGGGGCACAAGGGGGAGCGGCTCTTTGATTTGTGTGTATTTAGGCTTGTGGGGCCTCTGGTTGGAAGATGGGGGTTAAGACACTCACCCAGAGTTGAGTGTGCAGAGCTCTGTACATTGTCTTGGGAAAAGTCTTGTCCACGTCAAAGAATGGAAGGGAAACTGGCTAATGGAGACTTTGGGAGGGTTTGAAATGGCCCCTCCAGT